CATCCATTATGTGATCTTATAACATGACATATGTGTTGTGTGTTGTTGTTCTTTTTATGTTGTTGTTTTAGGTAATGCGAGCGCAAAAGAAAGTTGTTCATCCACTCATGCCCGTAACCAAAATGATATGACGGTTCCTTCTGGTGACTCTTTAAGAAAATTGGTATGTTTCATTATAGATATTAAAAAACCCATTCCTCTTCAATTTGAGTACGATCCAAAGTTATAGGTTTTATACATTGAACCTCAAGATATAAAGAATTTTTTGTTTGGAAATGATTGGCTAGACATAACGATACTACAATTGTTGTGCCGTAAGTACAATTTCTATTCTAATAAATGTCAATTTTAAATTTGCACACATCATTAATTTTAATGTTAAGACTCACTTCACTTTTTGAATTTTATTTAACCATTTAGGTATATGCATCTTTTTTGTATAGAATCAAATAAATTAGGCAGTTATGGATTATTGGACCCATATAGTATTCGACTTACATCAAATTCTCAAAAAGTGATTGAAACATACTTATCATCACGATTAAGAGCTCCAAAGCAAGACTATTTTAAGCATAATTTATCGATTAGTGAGTAATTTTGATATTATGGTTTCTTTAATATACTTAGTTTCTATTTTTTTTATCAATTATTAATTATGCTCGTGTTCATTCAGTGGTCATTGACAATTGTTTATTATATGTCTTGAGAAGAATATGGTAATTATGTTATGTTCCTTAGCCAAAACACTTGAAGTAAAGATGAAACGTATAATTTCTACATATATTATATTTTAGGAGACTTTTAATAATATTTTCTTTGAATTTGTAATTAGCTTAGTGTGTAACATTTAAATTGTTTTCAATATGTAGAGCTGTGGAAAGAATCTATATGTTGAATGGAATTAGAAGAAAAAAATCCAAATTTTATATGCCTTTGGTAAGTGTATTATTTTTTACAGTCATTTTCTATAATTACATATGGTTATATATTCATGTAATGTTTAAATTTGTAGACGAGAAAATAACCAGGAGGATACGAGTATGTTTATTATGTAGTGAAACATGTGACAAACATTGTCTCTTTCAACTGTGGTAAAATAAACTTTATAGAAAATAGGATTTTATAATAGGTGGTGGACCATTGTAGCGTATGGTGTGGTAGTAATTAGTAAGTGTGCTACTTTCCACCACAGGCGAGTAACTATGGTGAGAAACTAGGTACCATGCCACATTTCACCATAGTAATGACAAGCAATCATGGTGAAACATTAATAGGTCATGTGTTCGATTCCTAGTCAACCATGGTTATTTAATATTTGACGTGTCACATTTCACCACGGTTGACTGATACAACAATAGTGAAATTGTTTGTTATTTTTTTTATTTTTCATATGTCATTTTTTTTTTAATTCTTGTATTGTATATCATATTTTCTATCACAATAGACTATGAACCAATATATGCACAAAATATTTTAACAAAATTTTACATTATATATAAGCACAAAAGTGGCTTCAATATAGTACCAAATTGACAAATAAATCTAAATATTATTTACATCAAATCCAAAATATTACAAAATCGGTATGATTAGTCTAACATTTAAATCATAATATTGAAGCAAAATGTCTGATGTGTACGACTATCTTTCAAGTCTTCTGGTGAGAATGGTGTAGTGTCATTAAACATCTTTTTAATTGTATAAGTATTTTGTTCATAAATTTTCTAGTGTACATATTATTTTCACTCATTCATATAAAATTATCTTAAAATAAAACACAAATAAAATAAGTGAGAAATTATTTGCATCGTAAAGTTGGCAATCTTCTTATTAAGTATTTAGGGCATCATTTTGGCCAGATATGAGCCTCATGTGTATTGTTCTTTGATGGGAGGAAGATCGTTGGAGTATAAAAAGGCTTCATATTGATGAATTGGGTTTTTCTTCTTGATTCTACATTTGATTAACAAACTAGTTGTTGAACATGTGTCTTTCCACATAAGAGGGGGGGGGGGGAGAGTAGATTGTGTGGTTTTAAAAAAAAAATGGTTTATAATCAAAGTTTAAAAATATTTTAACAATTGTTTATATATTAAGCAGCGGAAGAGAGGAACACCGGGAGTTATATAGCTTCATTCAAGAAATGACTTAGTCTTGTTTCCATGAGTTAATCTTGAGAGCACCCAATAAAGTTAAGAGATTTTAGTAGGCAAAATTCACGAACCCTCTTATACAAGGAAAACTGAAATTTAAGGTTACCTTCCAACCAAACAATAAATAACGGAGTGAAACGGTGAGTCTTCCTTCCAAACGTCAGATCAAAGCGGTTAGTCTCATTTCCACAATAATGTTCGAGTGGTTAATCTTCAAGCTTCAAAAAAAACTTCGCAAGCTTTTAACACCAGGATGAGATAAGGAACCTTGAACCTTGGTTTTACCACGGGCTAACCAAGAACCTATGAGATTTTAAAATCAGGATAATCTCGAACCTTATCAAGCTATTAATACAAGGTTAAGCTTTAAGCTCAAACCATTGTTTTATTCACGGGTTAACTAAGAACATATGAAAGCTTTTATCATGTGTTGAGCCTTTTAACCTATAAAAGGGATTGATCACACAATTCATAAACCAAAGTTTTTTACGGGTTTACCTTTTAACCCAAACAATCCCTAATATGACAAAATGTTCAACCAGGTATAAACAAAAAAAATTCTTAGTTAACATACAAATGTACCCTTCCAGAATTACAACTTATCCTCACTAACAAAAGAACTTTCTCGAAAAATCACTTCAGCTAAAATATTAGTGAGAGAAAGTAAAAATAAAGTTTAGAGAGAGAGAGAGAGAGAGAGAGAGAGAGAGAGAGAGAGAGAGAGAATTATGTAACACGGTCGTGGATAATTTTAAATAAGGGAAGAGACCTCTATTTATAGGATATATATATATATATATATATATATATATATATATATATATATATATATATATATATATATATATATATATATATATATATATATATATATATATATATATATATATATATATATATATATATATATATATATATTGGATCAAAAAAGAAATCATTTTAAAAGCATTTAATGATTTGCCAATCGATTCGCAATATAATAAGATGGTTTGCTCCTTTAAAATTGATTACCAAGTTAGAAAAGGAAATAAAAGATATCTAGTTGTCACCCATCATTAAGATGGTGTTTTAATTGATTAGGGCGCTTTTTGAAATCTCCCAATCGATTGGGACAACGTGTCAATCGATTGGCAAAGTCAAAAAATTTGCTCAGGTCTTTTCATACATCTTCTAACTCATATGGCACGACTACAAGACATTTTAGAAATTATTTATTTGACAAAATTCAGTTTAAAAAATGTTTTCGTGTGTGTGGGTGTGGGTGTGGGTGATTTAGCCATCTATTTTTACGAAAATACCATTATGCATTACATAGTTTTCACTTATACTAATTAAGGAAAGGCTTTCTTGTACTTTAAGACTTTGTGAGATACTTTTCTTCTTGTAGGAACTTTCTTGATTTCACTTGAAATCAGGCTTAAGATAACTTCTATCTGGTTGCCATCATCAGATAGTCAAGTACAACAAACTCTAATTCTTTGGTTTGCATATTTAATCACTTAATTGCTTATACTTGACTTGTCTTCATCAGTTGTCATCATTAGAAAAATTTTGTCATCATCAAAAGTATAATAGTTCTCCTTGTTAAAAGTATATCACATGAAATATAAGGTTTCACACTATTTTAAATCTTCTTGTATTATGGTGGTTGAGGATGACTTGGAAACTAGATTTGGGCATGATATTTGGGTGGGGTCATTGATCTGGCATAGGGTGCTTAAGCGGATGTGTGTGCTTATACCTCTTATGCGCTCGATCTTAGAGATTTTTTAGGTTTTTCAAGTTTTTTCCCAGGGTAAGAATTTGCTTTTAGGTATGGTTTCAATTTGAAATTTAGTGGTCTAGATTATTTTTAAGAATGCATTATAAAAATATTTTTTGTTGAGAAAGATGAATAAAAAATTACTACATGGCTTTGCTTATTTGTCAGACTTAGAAGTGAGTTCATTCTAAAACTTCAAATTCAAATTTAGTGAAGGTTGTCATGTTTACCTCTCTCTCCATCTTGCATTTTTTGGTGGTTCATTTTTGTTTATAGACAAGAGATTTCACAAAGGAGCACAAGGGGTACTTGAACCTTGATTACAAAAAAAGATGCCAAACCAAATAAAACTAAGACAAATAGAGCAAAGAAGCTGCACAGAAGTCATAAAAATGAAAGTTGGAATTAGACATATCTCCTATTAAAGACCATCTCTAGTTTAAAAACTTAATAGACCAAATTATATTGTTCACATTACACAATTGACCTTCGAAAATAATTTTGTTTCTATGCTTTCAAATCCCTCAATGAACGGCTCACCAAATTTTACATTCTCCATTCTTCCTCATCTTCTTCCCCATTTTGATGCAAACCCCCAAAAAGCAAGTAATAAGATCTTCCCCTTCAGAAACTTCAAAACCAACACACTTATTGATAGCAAGCCAAACTTGGATAACAAACTCACAATACAAGAACATATACTGCAAGTTTTCCTCGAATTAAAAGCAAAAGACACAAGGGAGATCATTAGTAAAGCTTAAAATACCTCCTCTTTGAAGTTGATCTTTACTAGCCAACCTGTCTAGAAAAATTCTCCAACTAAAAACCTTTATCTTCATTGGCATGTTAGCAGCCCAAATAAGGTTGCACACACTTGCAAAGGAAGAAGCAAGAGTAGGAATACTATTGTAATCAACATTTGCAGAGTAGCAAAACCTCACAGTGAAAGCTTTTGATTTTTCTTAGGCCCAAATAAATTTGTTTGCTTTACCCTTGGTAAATGTCTAACTATCCAACAAAGCCATTAAATCACAAATTATGTTCGCAGAATTCTCCCGAATCTCGGCTTTGATTCCTAAATCATCCTAAACCCATGAATCGTTGATCCAAGCATCCATATTACTCACCCTTTCAGATTTCAACCTACTAACACTATAAATTAGGAAACATAGAATAGATATGAGTACCATACCAATCAGTATACCATAATGGGGTGTAAGACCCTTCTCCAATAGTAAACTTGACATTTCCTGCAAAATTGAAAGACTTTTTACCAACACTTATTTTGAAGGTGATAAGGTCCCTCCACCAAGTAGGAATAGGACCCTTAGTACCATACAAATTCCATCCAGAATAAGTTGTTCGAAGTTGTCACATCTAGCCGTCAAAACATCGTACCAAATAGCCTTTTTTGTCAGCAATCTCCACTTCCATTTTCTCAAGAATGCCAAGTTGAAACCTTCGATCCCTCTAATGCCAAGACCTCTGATGTTTTTGTCCTTGCAAATTTGTTTCCAACTCATCCAAGTTATTTTCCTATTGTATTTCAAGTTGCCTCAAAAGAAGTCATTTTGGATCCTTTCAATCTCTTTTCAAACACTCATAGGAGCCTTGAAGAAAGATAGTAGGAAAATAGGGAGGGAGCTAAGAACCAAGTTGATTAAAGTGAGCCTCCCACCTCGAGAAAGGATTCTAGCTTTCCATGTTGAAAGTCTTGACTTTATTTTTTTCACAAACGGCTTCCACGTTCTGATTCTTCTTGGATTTGAGCCAATAAGGATACCTAAAAGGTTGAGACTACAGCCTTCGATCTTGCTAGCGAGGAAGTTAGAAACTACTTAGATGAAATGAGGACTTATGTTCAGACCGTGGAGTTTACTCTTGTGATAGTTGTTCCCTAAACCTGACGTCAATTCAAATCCTCTTAAGATCACTTTAATGCTCCAAATATTCTTCCAATCACCTTCTCCCAAGAGAAGAGTGTCATTTGTGAACTGCAAAATTTCAAAGCTTCAAGCTTCAAAGTTTGTCTTTCTAAAGAGTGGTGGTGGGGTTGGTTTCTTTGTGGTTTCTATGTTTATTTTTTAGTTTGTGTGTATGTTGGAATTCTTTATTTATGTGTTTAGCCGATTTTTGATATAATTTGTTGTTTCTTAAACTTTCCTTCTTTTTTTTCTCAATATAATTGATCTACCATTAAAAAAAATTAAAAAAATATTTTATGATAGAATTAAAGTTTGACCTGACTCATCCCTACAAAACCGGCTTGTGAGGTGAGGGGTTTCACTTTATATAAACCCTTTGTGAGTTCTATCTTTAATCAATGTGGGACTTGAGTTTTTCCAATATACCCCCTCATGCCCAGCACTATTGGGATTAGTACGTAGATATTAACGGTGTATGACCCGAATTATCGATATATGGAACTTGGTTTTTCCAATACACCCCCTCCTTGCGCCCAACACTTTTTTTGCTTGGTGCGCATATATAAATGGTGAATGATACAAATCGATAGGTTCGTGATACCATGATAAATTAGAGTTTGACATAACTCATTCCAACAAAATCAATTTGTAAGATAAGAAGTGTCACTCTATATAAGCTTTTTGCGAGTTATATCTTTATCCAATATAAAACTTAGATTTATCTCAATAATCTAACAAACAAAATCAGAAAGGTTAATGAATTAAGTCTAAATAGAGTACTATATTACTTTCTTATGTAAAAAAATATTGTACTAAGACATGTATTCAAATTGGTAACAATTCAATACTTAAACTTTAAGGGTATCCGAATAGATACATTTACCTGCTATATAATTTGCTCTTTAACTAAAATAAATTAATAAATTGCAAAATATTATATTAATTTAACATAATTTACATTATATTTAAAATCATTTAATATTAAGTTGTGAAAATTCTAAAAAAAAAAGTATCTAACTTATCCCAAATTAGATTTTTTAACTTCACCAAAATATATATTAGAAAAAGGAAATCTAAAAGATTGTAAATGAATAAGCATACATAACTATGAAAAAGATATACAACATCGGTTGAAAAAGATATATTATCACACAAGACCGGACGATGTTACGTAGCGTGTGGTTGTATATGTGTTACTTACAATCATGGTCGTATGACCGTTGTAAAAAATCTCAAAGTGTGCGACATATTATCACAATTGCTTTAAATAATCGTTGTAATATATTAAAGGTCCCAAATTTGATTCTCAACAACGCCTTTTTGGTATATATATTATTCTGGACAACGTTCACTATATAACCACGGTCATATTTAACAACCGTCATTAAATTATCTGCGTTTTTAAAATACATTTTTCTACTTTTTGAATATTTTCCATTTTTTTAACCTGCATTTTTGTGAACCGTATCAGAATAGAAACAACAATTGTATTATAACAAATAATTATATTGTATTACATCAAATTCATACATTAGATTAAGAACCAAACATTGTATATATATTACATCAAAATAAAAATGGCACAAAACAATCTACAATCATTATATAACATCACATAATTGTATCTTATATAGTGTTTTGGTTTCTTTATCTCTTGGTGTCTTGATTTTAAACACCGATAATATTAAATAATCATACTTGTTAGTAATAAATATAGTTAGAAATAATAGCTTACATTAAATTATGAATAAAGAATAAAATACTCGTTAATTTTCTCATATGTCTTCATTATGATCGACACGAATAGCATGCACATCATCTATATCAACTTCATCATATGTGGTAGGCACTTTTGTTGTGTAAGAAGGAATATCAAAACTTTCAGCACTACTAGAAATGACTTTTCCTCAGAGAACGATTGACCATTTCCTTGATGTGTCCGAAGGGTCGGTCACATGAAAAACTTGTTTTGCTTTTGAAGCCATGATGAATGGTTCAGTCATATAATTTGCCTTGCTAATGTCAACCCGGGTGAATCCTAAGTCATCAGTTTGTACACCATTAATATTATTGAGAATCCACTTGCATTTAAATAAAGGCAACTTAAAGATAACATGATTAATCTCCCAAATCTCATCAATGACACCATAGAATGCACTGGATGCCAATATTGGATTCTTATGTTTCAAACTAGAGAAATGCATGGATTCGGCCTCAGCCATAACTCCACTATTTTGTATTGTACTACGATCATCTTTTGATTTTGTATAAAAGGTATAATGACCAATGTCATATGCAGCCCAAATCATCACTTAAATTTTGGCATGAACGACAACCATTTAATTGTCTCGAATGCACTATGATCTTTTGGTATCCTTTTATTAAACCAATACAGATATTTCGTGTTATGCTCGATCAACAACAACTTGTCGCTCATTCGTGGATATCTTTTCTTCAAAAGTCTTTGTGAGTAGTCACATAAGGTTAAACTTCTTCAAGATTATTCAATATATAAAAATGTGTTTGAATAACTACTTCCCGAGCCATTTACTTAACATTTAAACCTTAAATACCTATACCTTCAATGTCATTATGACGAGACTTTGGACTTCCTATAGACTCTGCTTTCCGACAAATAGTTTATACAAAACTCAACAGTTTCTTCTGTGATGTACCTTTCAATAATCGAAGCTTTTGGTCAGTGATGATTCTTTGGATATCTTTTAAAGATCTTCATGTTTCGCTCTATTGGATACATCTACCTTAAATAAACTGGACCACAAATTTTGATTTCTCTGACTAGATGAATAAGTAAGTGAACCATAATTTCAAAAAATGATGGAGGAAAATACATATCCAATTGACACAAGATTATGGCAGTTTCATCTTCCAATTCATCTAATTTTTTGAAATCAAGAACTTTACTACATATGGAACTGAAGAACAAACACAATCTGGTTATGGTTACTCTCACATTTTTGGTAGAATGCCACAGATAGCCACTGGTAGAATGTTGTTGCATCAAGACGTGACAGTCATGAGATTTGAAACCAATTAACTTGAGATCTTTCATTGATACAAGTTTTTTAATGTTTAATGAGTAACCTTGGGAAACTTTGATACCATGCAAACACTCGCAAAAACTTTTCTTTTCTTTTTTACATAGAGTGTAACAAGCTGAAGGCAGATAAGTTCTTTTCTCTTTTTCTATTGGAGCCAATTTTTTTGTATACCTATCGCCTCCATATCAAGACGAAATTGTTTACTATCTTTAGTCTTGCCTGAAATGTTTAGAAGTGTTTCAATCAAACTATCACACATATTTTTCTCCACATACATCACATCAAAACAATGTCTTACATCGAGACTTGACCAATATGGAAGATCAAAGAATAAAAACCTCATTTTTCATATATTTTTGTCAAGTGGTCCTTTTTCTTTTTCTCTCTTTCCAAAGACAACATTAATGTGTTTCTATCATTGATAAACTTCATCTCTGGTTAAAGGTTTAGGAGCGATATCAACCTCTTGCTCTCTATTAAAAGCCTTCCGCAATCTACAATAAGAATGACCGAAATTTAGAAATTTCTGATGCTCAAGATAAACGATCTTTTTTTTTCAAACTCAAGTTGGTGATAATAGGTATCAGATTCACAAATAGGACACACTTTGTGTCCTTTGACAATATATCCAACCAAATTATCATATGCAGGAAAGTCGTTGATTGTGCAAAATAACATTGCACGCATCTTAAACTTTTCACTAGAATATGCATCATCAACTTCAATGCCTTCCTCCCACAAAAATCTTAAATCTTCAATTAATAGACTTAGATAAACATCTATGTCGTATCCAGGTTTTCGTGGTCCAGAAATCATCATACTTAACAACATATACTTATGTTTCATGCACAACCCAGGAGATAGATTATAAATCGTGAGAAGAATAGACCACGAAGAATGGTTAGTACTCAGATTACCAAAGGGGTTCATTCCATCGGTGGCAAGCCCACGCCTAAGGTTTCTTGGCTGACTGTCAAAATCCAAAAACAGCAAATCAATTTTCTTCCATTGCAAAGAATCAGCTATATGGTGTATGTTTCCATCATATTTTCTTTCATCTTCATGCCATCTAATATTCTTTGCATTATTCATATTAGCAAAAAGTCTCTTGAATCTTAAAATTATTGACAAGTACCGTAACACTTTAGCAGGAGGCCTCTTTCTACTAACATTGTCATTGTTATTGTTATCACTATTGTTGTTCTTCAGCTTGTAATGCGACATCCATATTCTGGACATTGATCCAAATTTTCATACTTTTTCTGTATAATAAGCAATTAATGCAATTGTTTAATTATAAAAACTTGATTGTTGTTGGTAGAAAACTCAAATCTTATTGGAAAAAATAAAAGGAATTTTGAATTACCATAAAAGGGGACACGCTAAAAATAATTAATTTTAAATAAATTAATTTTAAATTAATTAATTTTAAAAAAAATAAAGTTGAAAGTAGTTTGATTTATGTTTGGATAATTTATGTAAAAACAAGTTAAACATTTTAGTAAAAATCACATTTAAACTCAAATTTATAAATTA